GAAGAGCGGCTTTTTGAACAGACCAGGGAACTCAGAATACTTGACAGCTTTAAAGTGCATGCCTGTGTGAAGGAAGTGGACTATTTCCACAGGAGGTGGGAGATGTGGTTTCAAGTTCCCATCTTGAAAAAAAGGCAGAGAAGCACTTTTAAACTTGGTTCTCCCACACTAATCACTGGGCTGTTTGGTGAATGCCACACCCTTTCCCTCCCCCTCGATTTCTGTGCTGGTTCAAATTCACAAGGCAAGCTAGAATAACACCTACTAGCTTAGTGTCTAAACTTGATTTGAATACAAGGGTAGTCAGAAATTATGAAAGCTGCTGAAAGTCTTGGTTAACAAGCTGATTAAGGTTGGAAGATGCTATTCCCAGAACCTCATGGAAAATACTTTGTCCAAGTAAGGTGTAAATGAAATGAGAATAGGAGAGTTTGAACTACTTTTATTGTCATAATCTGTTGAAAGCCAGAACTAAATGTTAGGCAGCATTTAAGTCCAGCTTCCAGATGGATATGAAGGTCTTACCTCTTGTGGTCCTTCTAGAGGACTTAGTGTGAATGAATGGGAACAGCTAATTAAAAGCTAGCTAGATGTAGACAAATGTCCAGAGAGATTAAGATGCACATGATTATGTGATAGGGAAGGTGCTTGAAGAACCAGCATGGAAAATTGAAACACAGAGTAGAAGAAAGTGAGCACAAAGGTGATTGGTGTTAAGGGTAGGCCAAGGCCTCTGCTTCACATATGGTGCTCTGCTCTGCTTAGTGACCTGTTAATCTTCCTTGTGGGCTCTCTTGTTATTAGTGCTTTGAATGAGAAGGTTTCTTTTAAACTACTAGTAGCTGTAGACTTATTTAGGGTGTTTTTTCAGCATACTGTTCCAGTCCGTGTATGAACTCCTGACTGTAAACTGTAACATAGTTTGTAATGCAGGTTAGGAAATACAGACTGATCTTGCCAGGGCTGGAGGGAGTGTGTGCACATGTGCATGCAGGAATACACACACATGCATAAGCAGGGAATGGCTGTTGAGAAGAAAAAAAAAAAAAAAGTTAAAAATGGTTTATAAAATAATCAAGGCATGCTGTTATCTCCTGATTCCTGAAAGTGCTGTCATTTAAAAAAAAAAAAAAGTCTTGAGCACCCCCTTTGATTGGAGGTGGGACAGGGAAGGGTCTTCCCTATTTTCAGAAATGCATGGTGCTGCATTTGTTTTCTGACCTTGAAGGCACTTTTGATTTTAGTTTATTACTGTTCAGTAATCTTTCTTTTCCAAGGCAAGGGCTCTTATGCGCTGACAAGATACTTTGCCAGTGCTTTATGCAGATCTGTTGTTCTGGGTGCTGGGTTTCCTGTTTATTTCCTTTCAGACCCAGCTTAACTTGCAAAAGGGATTACCTGACAGATTCTGACAGGTAGAGGAAGAATCTCTGCAATCGGAATTCTAGAAAAATAAATGTTAGCCAGCTCAAGCATCTAGGAAAGAAATCACAGAACTCTCCCTCCTGGCTTCTGTCCTCCCAGTTGTGTTCAAAACAGCTACACCATGTCCAGTGTTGATGCTAAATGACCTATTTTATTTTACATTTGTGTAAGGTACATACCTAATCTATGAGGTTCTGTTGAACAGGCTGAACATAAGAACACACGGCACCAGTTAAAACTGTTTTGTTAGTTTGTGAAATGAAGTGACACCCCCCCCCCCACGCCAAACCCTAAAATGAAGCCCCCCCCCCCCCCCCAGCCAACCCCTCAACTGTTCAGAACTAGAGACCAGAAAGTGATAATGCAGAGTATCCACTCGGAATACATTACTACATACTGTAAGAAAGATGGTCCACTTGCTAGACACTGTGTTGTCAATGTGCTTGCTGTATTTGCTTACAAAACTGACAGCTTGACCACAACATAGTGGATGAGGGAAAAGCTGTGAATGTTGTCTACCTGGACTTTAGTACAGCTGTTGACACTGTTTCCCACATCATTCTCCTGGAGAAACCAGCTGCTCATGGCTCAGACAGGCGTTCTCTTCGCTGGGTAAAGAACTGGGTGGACGGCTGGGCCCAAAGAGGTGCAGTGGAGTTAAATCCAGTTGGCATCAGGTCACAGCTCAGTACTGGAGCTAGATCTCTTTATCAATAATCTGGATTGGGGAGTGGTGGTGGTGGTGGTGGGGGATGTGTGTGGGTGTGTATGTGAGTGCACCCTCAGTAAGCTGATGGATGGCACCAAGTTGGCCGGGAGTGTTGATCTGCTGGAGGGTAGGAAGGCTTTAACAGAGGGATCAGGACCGGCTGGACCAGTGGGCCAAGGCCAACTGTGTGAGGTTCAACAAGGCCAAGGACCAGGTCCTGCACTTGGGTCACACCAACCCCAGGCGACATTACAGGCTTGGGGCAGAGTGGCTGGAAAGCTGCCTGGCAGAAAAGGACCTGGGGGTGACCTCCCCCCTCAGTATGAGCTAGCAGTGTGCCCAGGTGGCCAAGAAGGCCAAGACGTCCTTGCTTGTATCAGAAATAGTGGGGCCAGCACCTAGTAGTGTCCCCACTCCACACCCCCCTACTTTCTTCTTTCTCCTACCCACCCACCCCCCCCCCCGCGCCCCTCTT